AGAATTTGCATTGTGTTGATACTCTGACTCTATGTTGTCTACTATTAAAGCTCTGTCCATGTTTTGAACAATTACAACTGAAGTGCTAGAAAATGATATGAAAATGACACCAAGTACTTGACTGATTATCATGTCGTTTTCTGTTGCAGAAGATGAATTTGTTGAGTTTGAAAGTGTGCCTTTTGTATCTCCCAAAGCAATGCCTATTGAGTCAGAATACGAAACAAATGGCAATAGAATAATTGCAATAATACTGCCAATAACAATAAAAAATCTTCTTTTGAATCTTTTGATTGGGAAAATGTCGGACAAAAGACCAAATATCGGCTGTATAAATGACACAATCAATGGTATAATCCCTCCAAATATCAATGATATGGTGGATATCGACATACCAGTTTTTATGTACATAAACGGAGATATCAAACAAGAAACAGTTGAAGTTGAAAAAACCAATCCTCCATTTAAAATTGAGTAAACAAAGTATTTCAAAACTCTTAAAGAACTTTGTACTATCTTATCTTTGTTCATTTGATTGTTTTTTAAGAATCAATATTTTTAAATATCAAAAATGTCACTAAAAGAAATTTTAGTTAATAACAACTTTTAGAATAAAGTAGAATTTTCGAAAGTGAAAAATCTGTTTATCGTTATCTATTATTACTTAATGGTTAATAAAATTCTGTATATTTTCTTGGTTTAAATCATGTTTTATTAAATTAATAAACAGTTTTGAATAACTTTTCAACAACTGTTAAACTTTCTTTTCGTTTATTATTAATTATATAGATTTAATATTACTATTTAATATTTATATTAAATATTCAACTTCGAAATATGTTATTTTCAAATAAAACACAAATTTGTTATTTTTATCATTAAAAAAAGTTATGAAAAAAAGGTTTTGAACTTTTATGAAAGTTTAAAAACAATTTTTATATTTTTAATTTTATTATTAAAAAATTGTATTTGTAGAAAACAATCTTGTTTAATTTTATTTATAAACAATTATTACATATTTATTTTTTAAAAAAACTTTTGAATAATGAAATAGAATATCTTATTTGTGTTATGATTGAATATAATTTTAAAAAATTCATTCAATTTTAGCCCCAGGTTAATTCTTTAAGCGGCCATTCTGGTACTTCAACTTTTTGATAATTTTTATTAACTGCATCAACAACTTCTTGTGCAAGATACCCCTTTGCTCTATATCCTCGAGCCGTTGGATGTTTTTCTTTTTTGAAAACTTTTTTGTTTTCTTCTATTCCAAAATCTGCATTGTGTACAAAAGTTGTATGCGATGTTTTTGGAGGTTTCTTGTTGTGGTGTTTTGGTTTTCTTTCTTTTTTATCTTCTAATATAACATTATCCATTTCATGTTTTGAAATCGACCTTTTTCTTTCGATGAATTCCATGCTTAAATTTGGAATTGACAGTAATATTTTGTGGGTATTTGAAACAAATGTTAGGAGTATTTCATTATTCAATTCTCTCATAAATTCAATCAAATCGTTTTTAACTTTTGGTATTGCTGGTGCTCCTGAAAACAACTGTTTTTGTTCCAAACTTTGAATGAAATTGAAATAACTTGTGAATAACAAGCAATACTTTACTAAAGGATTGAGAAAGGTCTTATAATTTTGGTCTTCATGTTTAATACAATATTCTAATTTTGGTTGTAATACATTAACTCTTTTGAGCATAAATAAATGAATGTCAAAATAATGTTTGCTGTTTATTGAATCTTGTAACAATCTGACACACTGGAGAGTTTGTTCTCTTGATAATATGTTATCTTCATAAACACCTTTAAAACAATTATACAGACTTTTTTCTTCATTAAGTACTTTGCCAGTAATTTCAAAATCATTCATATCAAAGGGGGGAATGTAATCTTTTATATTCTTTTTATTCAAAAGAAGTCCATCGAGAAGATCCCATTGATAATCTAACAACTTCAAAAGTATATTTCTTACTTCATTATTCTCTTCGTCGGTTGTTGGTTGACTGTTAATTCGAATGACTAAACACAACAAAAATATAAGTGAAGTATTTATCATGTGTTATTAATAGTTTTCATAAGATCATAATAATAAAAATGTTGTTTTTATTTGTTTTTTTTCTTTTTAATGACTTGTTTGTATTTTTTTCCCTAAGGCTGTTCAAAATATTACTTTTAAATGGAATTATAAATCATTAAACATGTTAAATTGATGTTTCGTTTTCAATGTGAAAACTAAAAAATTGTGTTTAATTTAATAAACTACCAAATACAAGTTTTAATATGTGAATGGGTATATCACAAAAATAATAAATGTGATCAATTACAACTAAACAATAAAAATGATGATTAAAATGTTAATCTTATTATTAAAAGATAGTTATCACAAAAATGTGATAACTATATTTAAATCATTATCACATCCAGAAATACTCATCTATTTGTAGTGAAAAAAATGAAAAAATTAAGTTTTTAATTTTGATAAACGTTACAGTACTAAGAACAAAATATTTATTTGTCTACAACACGATGATTGGTCAGTTGTTTAACATATAAACTATTTTTAAAATAATAATTGATTCATATTGTTGTATTTTATCTTATTTTTAAATACTTTATCAATTTGATTTGTGTAGATTGCAAAAGTATACTAATACTGTTTTCAATTTATAAACAATTTAAAATGTTACGGACTTATTTTTTTAATTTAAAGTTTTAGATTTTGATAAAGTGAAACATTTAAAAAACTGTTTATTTCAGCAAGTGTCAAATTTGCACTATTTATTCTATTTTATTTTTTTCTCATAATATTCAATTACAATAATTAAATTATTATAAATAACTGTAAGTGCATAACTAAATAATAATACATATATCTTTTACATAAGTAAAAATGTGTTGTTTACTTGAGCAACAATTTTTGAAAGTTTGTTTTTAAAAAATTAAAAAAATAAATGAAAAAAAAATCACAAATACGTGCGATTTTTATTACATATTACAAATTTCTACAATGGTTCAAATTATTATTTGATGTTGCATTTTTTTGTTGGTGAAATAAACAAATCTTTAACATTCTCTTTAAGTTATTTGAAACTAATAAACATAAATACATATTAAATTTTAGTTATATAAAAAACAAACATTTTTTAAATATTTTAGTAAAAATAACCTTCTTACCATATTATTCTTTATATTGTAAACTTATTATTTATTTATATAATACATTTATACTTTAATTGAATATTAATCATTATTCTTAAAGGACGAATTAATTGAATGTTATTGAATAACAATATTTTAGTTTTTACACAAGTAATCATATATAAAGTTGTATTTTTTAATTATACGTTCAATAAAAGATTATTTGTCTTATTTATTTATACAAAACAATCTTAAATAAAATTTTAATAATAATATTAATTAATAACTACACATTTTATCAAGTTGGCAATTATTTTTTTCTGTTTTTATTTGATTTTAACAAATTATTTTTAATTCAAATAATAATAATTTTGTTTCGAAATAAACAAATTTAAAACTACACAATTTTGTATAATATCAACTTTTGGTGTTATTTTATTATCTATCAAAACAACTAATATAAAAATATTTCTAATTTAATCGAATAAACTTGAAATAAAAACCATGTTCAACGGTGTCATATCCACTGAACAAAATGACACAATCGATACTTCACGTATAACACAACAAGAAACAAATAACGAACAGAAACATTATTTTACAACAGTATCACTTTTAAGAGGAATTTGTTCGATTATGATTATGTTGTGTCATCTTTCCATGTTCAACAAATTTGCAGGCAAGTATTTTTTCAGTCATAGTTACCTTGGTGTTGACTTCTTCTTTTTAGTTTCTGGATTCTTTGTTTCTTATACAAACAAAAATAATAAAGATTACAATTTCATTGAAAAAACATATAAAATTTTTAACTTGATGTTTTACACCTTTTTGAAAAAGATCAAAAGAATTTTAAAATATTTGAAATTGTTAAATGTCAACAAAGATGAAGAATTAGAAAACTTTTCCATTGAAAGCGACGAAAATCCTTGTACTTCTGAAAATACAAGTGAAAATAATCTTACTGATACCACTTTAAATGATAAAGGAGTCAATCAAAATATTTTTCAAATTCAACTTACAAAAAATGATGATGAAAAAACGACCAAAAACGCAACAGAAATATCAACACCTATTTTAGATGAAAAAGTGCCGACGAATGATGTAAATATAAAAACAAGTGAAAACACACAAAAATGTCAACCCTCCAAAAATACAATTTTCAACCCATTTACATTTCTTTTGCGTCGAGTAGTTCGACTATTCCCAATGCAAGTATTTGGTACAATTATTGCCATCTTTGCATATCCACCGTTTTACACGATGAATATTGGTAAAATACTAATGTATTTATTGCTTAATATATTTTCATTTCCAAATTGGGATACCAATTGGGAGTTCATACCAAACGGAGTAACATGGACTGTTTTCTTTGAGTATTTATTTGCAATAGTATATGCATTTTTCTTAAGGTATATTCACATTGTATTTGTTACATTAGTCGATTTATTATTCTTATTACTACTTGTTATAAGTCAACTTCATGTTTTTGAGTTTAGTATGTGTCCTAATGGTATTTCCTTTGATAGAGGGTATGTCTTTGGTAGCTGTGGTTTTTTTGTTGGCATCACGAGAGCAAGATTTTCATTTGTTAATGGAATCATCATTGAATTATTTGTATCGAAATTTCACAATTGGTGGATTAAAAAAATATGGAAAAAGACCAGAAATACGGTTTGGTGCATTAATCAGTGCCATAATCGTTGTTGTTTCGTTTAAAGTGAACAGTTACTATATGAGTAATATTCAAAATTCGATATATTGCATGTTTTGTGTTTGTATATTATATCCACTTACACTTTTTATAGCTACAAATTGTGAATTAAATAATCACATTATGAAAAAAGTCGCGATTTTTTGTGGAGAAGTGTCGTATCCACTGTTTATGATACACAAAACGTTTTTGATATACATGTCAGTGTGGTTAAATACTTTTAACAAAGAATCTGGATACTTTTTGTGGGTGATGTTCTTTGAAATTGCATTTATCGCATTTTTATTCTCTTGTGCTGTTCTTAAATATTATGACGAGCCTATTAGAAACTATTTGTCTAAAAAATTATTTAAAAGAAACTCCATTTAATTGATTTTTTTTTATTTATTTAATTGATAATTTCTGGTTTATTTTTTTTGTTTTACAGACAAACAAGTAATAGAAAAATACAGGTAATTCTAGCTATGTACATAGTTCGTTATAATTTAATCATCACACAAACATTGTTCAGAACACTTTTCGCATGTTTAGATATCAAAATTTTTAGCTTTTAATATCTTTTGATAAAAATATTAAAAAAGTAACTTTGAAAAATTAAGAGTTCACTTTCCCATTTTTATATTTTTGTGATTAAAAGAAAAAACTCCACATTAAAAATGCTAAATACTCGTTGAA